ATTAATCGTTTTTGTCTCATTGGTCTCGCCCCAAAGAATTTTTGTGGTTTTCTGTAAGCCTTCACTATTCCATAGGGATATGTGGGCGTTTTTTGCCCTAAACTAAGTCATTAGTTTTATTCCTAATTATTTGTCTCTTATAAACACTAGCATCTGAAAATAACATAGAAATAGCTCTCGATTGATGGGTAAGTGGACTTTGATCTCAAACAGGAATGCATCTAATTTAAAATGTTCCATTTTTAGCTTAGTATTTTTTAGCAGATTTCGAATTTTGTTTGGCGTTATCAAAAAAATATGGTAATTCAAACACTGAATTATACTTCCGAATAAATGAAATTGATAAAACGAAAGTAATATTCTTCGTATAGAATATTTAATGATAGTCAATCAAGTTGTTGTGATGTGTGTGCGCGACTGACACATAGTACAACAAATAAATATGTGCAGATATATGAAGAAATTGATTGATAATTAAGTCATTTGCTATCTCAGACCGCTGGATGATACAAAAATGAAATCAAACTAAAGGTCACAAGAAGTAAAAGTTAAATTTTAGTGTTCGAGGAGGGCATACATGTCGATGCTTTTTTGGTGGGGTGATGAATGATTGATTTATGAAACCGTGGATCACCAAGGTTGAGTAGTTTTATACTCCCAGTTTCAATTTTAAAAGAAAATATGATTAATCGTTGAAAAGTACATTTGTAGTTAATATATTTTTTGGAAGATTTCTTATTTATTAATTATTTTGCTGTTTAATAATTTATTGTTGTTGCTGTAGTAATGGTTTCCCCATTAGGTTATATTTCAATTCAATTTGATAACTTTCATGTCCATTGTGTTGAAATAATAAACACGAAATAAATAAAAGAAAATAGAAAATATAAATAGTTTTCGAAAGTGGTTGATTTGACAAGTGGATAACATTCTTAAGTACCACCATCTTACAAACAAAACTTATTACCAGAGTGCATTTTCTAACCACTTTTTGACAGTCGTAAAAGTATAGTCAATTTCCAGCCATTGAATCTTCTGCATCAGTTTAGCGCAGCAAGGAGTACACTGAGACTATAAGAAGTGGAATAATGGTACTTTTTCGCGTTCTGGTCATGCATGAATGTTGAACATATGAATAAATCGAATATCGCGAAAAGGTGATTGAATAAATGATTATGTCCAAATCTAATTACATACACGTAATGATATATCTAATAGCCGCTTAGCTTTTAAATTTACAGAGCAAGTGCCATCAAATAGAGAGGCATTTTTGATTGCAATATAGCGTTAAGGCAATGTGAGACTTCATTAAACTTTGGTGGCTCGAAAATGAAACCGTCACACGCTGCCCGAATGTTGCTCTGCTGTATTTTGGCCCATTCCCGGCGAAGAACTTGCTTGAGGTGATCGACACTTTAGTACCAACGGATTGGTATCCGGAGATTTTGGTGGCCATTGCGAGCTGGAAATGAAGCGAGGAACCTCATTTTGTAACCATTCTTGGGTGGCGCGTGTTGAGTGGGATGGTGCTGAGTCCTGTTAGAATGTCTAAGGTCTGCGGCCAAAATTTTTGTGTGCACAAGGCTTTAATACACCCTCCAGAACATTTTCGCGATAATATTCGGCATTTATTCTTATGCCACGGTTGATTAAAACGGGCGAAGAACGACCATGGGTTGTTAAGGTGGCCCACACCATCACCATGGCCCACACCATCTGCTGACCTCTTTGGCAAGTAAACACGATCATTTTGTTTGTTTACAAACAGTTGGACAACAAATGTTTTCTGATCGGAGAAAACCAAATTCGGCAGTTCACCACTTTCGGGCAAGCGAAGCAACTTTTAACTTTAGCTCTTTTGAGTTTATTTTCATTCCTAACCATTATATGGTGGGCAGAACTTCGCCACCCAGACTTGTAAGGAACGATGTGGGTGATCTAGAAAGAAAGATCCAACGATAAAAGAGAGTGCCTCTAGAACAAAAAGCCAATCAGGCAGGTCTGGATAGCATTCGTACTGATGCAGTCGCTGATGTAGTTAACAATTACAATAAAAGTGTCATCCTCCAGATTAGTTCTGGCGCAATTACGTTCAGGATGACGTAGTCGTCTAGATTCGTATTTGGCACGAATTGATGAATATGTGCGGAACGTCTACGCAATGGTGAGACAAAGGCCCGCACAATACGCTGTCAAACCTACCCCACTCGCTCCTGATAATCTTTGGTTACAACACGCGAAAGCAGCCAAATTTTTGAATCTGGAGTTGGAACCGGATCAGCAGAAATCAAACAAAACATGTGTAGCTTTTAGAACAGATGGAGTCATGGGGAGGCACCTATTGCAGTTCTCTGTTTTGAAGTACACTTCTTGGATATGAGAATAGTAAGCTTTTTGCGGTTTTGAGGGGAGTCTTGGGTTAAATACCCGATCTCGATGCTCTTTAGACTGTCGATTTTTCAGAGGCCCTTAGTTATCCAAACTTCTCCATATTAGTCCCCACATAAAAAGGATCCCCTTATGCGGGGGCTACGCCACCTCGTGCCCATCAGTATTTTAGGTTTACAGTCAATGTACCGACTGTATTCCAACGGAGCTTCGTTGATATCTGGACACCTCAACGAATAATAGGTTTAGTAACCGACCTCTGTCCGTCCAAAAGTCGATGACGCATAAAAACCCCCCATCCATTGCAACTGAAAATCGTCGGCAACCTAGACAAACCACGGTAGTGCTGGCGCAAATACGTTCAGGATGGCGCAGTCACTTTAGTTCGTATTTGGTAGCCAACTTTTTGAAGCTTGATTAAGAACCGGATCAGCAGTAATCAAACAAAACATGTGTGGCTGTTACACAACAAAGCTGGGGTCACATTTTTGTAGTACCCTTTTCTCGGTAATGAGAATAGTACACGTTTTGCGGGACTGAGGGGAGTCCTGGATTAAATACCCGATCCCGCTGCTCCTTGGACTGTCGAGGCTATTTTTCGGTGCTCCTTAGTTATCCAAACCTCTCTGTATTGGTTTCACACATGAAAATGATTCCTTAATGCCTTAGTGCCCATCAGTATTTCAGTTTTACAGTCAGGGTAACGACTGTATTCTAACCGACGTTTAACATCGTCGGGCAGTACCGATAAGCCCTTGCGGTATCATTGGCTTTTGATGCGAAATATATATACCTCTGTAGATTGAATTCTTATATCACTTGGATACTACGCTTCCTCGCAATATAAATTATATTTTGTACGAGATATCTTAGAACAAGAAATATCCTTGTTAGGTTTATTTCAATTTGATTTAGACTTAGTCTTAACTCTCCTATCATTTCCTTCAATCTACTATACTAACTTATACAAAGTCCTATGTAAACATAAATTTGACACGGGAAACACCTCCGCTAAATATCCAGTCTGGGTTGTATAGGATAACATATAGTTGACAACCAGACATGATTTATGTCCTTACATCATTAGTTTTCTGGCTAAAATTTGGTATTTCTTCTTTTTTTTAAATTGATTAGGACCAGTATCTGAAAAATGTTATTGTCTTTATTTAATAATTACACACAATAATATAGTAATCCATCATAGGCGCTTTAATTTGCTGATAACCGAATACCACATCACTAACGTGTGAAGTATTCGTAGTCTTTTGTTACCTCCTACACGAGTGAGTTTGTTTATCTACGTCATTTCATTGTGGCACATTTATTTCCTTTTTTCCCTCAACTTTTTCTCTACATAAAAAAAATAGCCCAAAGACAGTTAATCTTGGCCCAAAAGCGTTGTCGTTGTTACTGTGCTTTTGACCACGTCACTTAAAACTAGTTTCCAAAGAAAAAAAATACCTCAAGCCTTCCCCTTTCCAATGACTTGTTTAACAAACTATTGACAATTATGGGCTCTCTGCTCATTTGATGGGGAACTCTCTCGCTCTCTCTATCTGCCTTTGTATTTTGTTTCTCTGTTACGGTCAGGTGCTCCAACATATGATCTTTACAACAACAATATGCAACAAATAACTGAAACACCACACTTGTTGGTGTTGTGCTGCTTCCACCTTTATTCATTCATTCTTGTTGTTGTTGTTATTGGTATTGTATTTGTATTGTTTATCGTTAAAGGGGAAGTCATTTGGGGAGAAAGTTTTTGTTTTCTTTAGCTGCAATGCCAGCCAGTGGAGTTGCATTGATTTTATTTTCTAAAAGAGATAGAGACACATCTTGGAGAGAGTGTAAAAATGTAAACATCAAGAGCAAACATAAATTGAGACTTAAGTACTCTTGTGGTTACTATTTTGTTGTTGTGGTTTTTCAAGTGTGGTTGTATTGGGAAAGTGGGGTTTTTTTCTGTTTGGTTGGTTGGCTGACTGGCTGGCTGGTCATGATTCAGTGATTACTTTCAAACATTACACAGCGCTCGGTAGAGTAGTTCCCTATTACGTTTCAGTATTTCTACAGTGATTTGTTAAAAAAAACGCTTTTGGATGTTTCGCGATCATTGTTAAATTTTTTGTTGTTGATCTCTTCAGGAAGAAAAAAAAAAAATAAGCGCTTTAAATTGAAATAAAAAATATATAAATAAAAAACAACAACATGTCAGCTGAAGAAATAATTGAAGAGGGTGGATACAATGTGGTGCCCGAAGATGAACCGGTTAATATCACAATTTTTTAAAAGTTTTATGAACTGCTCTTTTAACAACCACTTGAAATCAAAAGCCAACTGTTCAAATACCAATAATTTGTGTTTGTTTTCGTTGTTGTTTTTCTTTTCATCTCAACAATTGCTTGAGAATTTTCGCCATAGCCTGGTGTATTGTTGTCGTTATCAAGCAAAGACGACAACGTGTCATATGTTTAAATATAAACACAGCCACCTCCTCCACCAGTGCCAGGCTGCCAACACCAGTTTTTACTTTTTGTTTCAATATCAAGAAAACGTTATTGTTGTCTATCGTCCCAATCCCTTTACCCCGTTTCAATGGCAGTGGAGTTTTGTTTTTAGTTGCCAGCCAGCCAGCTAGCCTAGCACCTAGCAAACGTGCAGCTCATTACCATAAGTTAATTTGTATTCTGAGCGAGTGTATTGAAATAAAATTTTGTCAACGGATGTACCCACTAGGATTTGGAAATAATATTTGGTGACGAAAAATACCTACATAGAAACAACAATAATAATTCTAAAATCAATATGATGGATGACGATGAATTGGACATTGACGATTTGGAGTTGGATCTGGAAAGTGAAGATGTAAGAATTGCAAAGCAGTTGTGAAATACAGCCACCTTTAGATTTTGGGTTTTGCCAAATGTGTTTTTAAAATTGCATCAGCTTCTCGGCCACACACAGAGATCTGTTACAAATGGATGAATGTTGATATTTTCAAATTGAAAATGTGTTTTGAACGTATTTTATTGCCTGGCTTATGACTAAAGTCTTCAAAATAGTAGGTGACTGGAAAATTATGAAGGAAATTTCTGGAAGACAAACATCTTGAGCTAACTTGGTATTCGGATACAGAATGGAAGAAAAATCATTGAAAAATAAATGGCAACGAGTGAAAAAATCACGGTTTTTGGGATTTTCTAAAAATTTACTGCTGCAATACAGAAAACGTTCTAAATCCAAATTAAAAGACGCTGGTCCTTTTGCTTTTCGAAATAAACGCGGTCAACGAGATGTAGATTGCTGCAGAGCTGTATACATGGAGTAATATAGAGGAAACCCATGAGAGAATAGTTACTTGACCAGAATTTCATCCATTGATAATGCATTTATGGTCGAAATATGTATCAGGATCAATTAATATTTGGCCTTCATAGCTAATTTTATGCAGGACGAACATCTACGCAACAAATTCATTATTCTTCTTGAATAAAAATATAAAGAAGAGTGCCATTACAAAAAAGTAATAGTGCCAACACCAGTAGAACTATTATATGACATTTGGATCTTTAGTCAGGAACAACCAAAATATTATAACAAGAACGGATTGTAGGCGGATTGTAACTAAAAAGAGTCCAACAGCCTATGGAACCCTATCACAAATTTTGCCTCGTCTTTACAGAGGGATATCGAATACATATAGATTTCTACGAGCAGAAGGTACTATCTCCATCACCAGATCTTTGTGGCTTCGTCTAGCTCTAAAGCACCGTTAATTTGGACTATCCAGTTGCCTGCATAGTAAATGATTTACCGATAAGAGGTGTCATTTGGGTTTAAAAATTACTTTCTTTAGATATTGGTCGACTACTTATTTTATGATAAAGAGGAAATTAGAAAAAAACTATATCCATTTTTAAGATCTTGACTCAGTGATGGACGTTGAGCGTAGACCTTCAAAAGAAGAAATCGTAAGGTGTTTAATCATAAGATCTTGGTGGCCATTTTGTTCAACTATTCGTTCCGTGAACTTTTTCTGTGAAAGAACAATGGTTTCGTAAAGTCCAATGATCCTGCCGGACCATAAGCCACGCCAAACAATCACACATCAGGTATAGAGCGGCATTTTAACAATGTCTTTTGGTTTTCCAGAACCCTGATTAGGTAATTTTGCTAATTGACGGAACTACCGAGTTGGAAAGTGGCCTCATCAATCAACTTAATTTTTTCAAACTGTGAACGCAAGAAGGCTACGATTTTTGTCGTGAACTTAAATATGTTCAGTTTGTTGTTAAACCGTGTATTATTTCATTTTTAGTAATGGAGTGGTTTCTTCTTGTCAAATGTCGGGAGCTGTCACTTTTAAAATATCGGGTTATTCAAACTAACACTTCTTGTTGCCCCACCGCATTTTACGCCATAAGCACATATATAAGCTAAAGACTCAACACAGCTTATTCCACCACGGCGCTGATGTGGTCGACCTTGCTAAGCCGTAGCATTGGACCACCTACATGAGGAGGCCTTGCTAAGCCATGGCATTGGAGCATCTACATGAGGAGGTAAAAATCCTTCCCGTACGTCAGAATAACCATATACTTTCGTTGCTTGTGCGATATCGTGGGAGTCATCCGGATCATCACATGGTGGATAACACTCCTACACCCAGACGTGTCAGGAAGGACATATATGATCTAGAGAGGGATGTCCAACACTAAAAGAGAAGCCTATCTGAGTTGCAATAATGCTGGTGCAGGCGCAGATACTATCAACAATTAAAGTATGAATACCGTCCTTGTAGCCCGCCACCCCATTGCAGCTGATGAAGATGTGCGAGACGTCTGTCCGGCGTTTTACAAAAAATCTGAATATCACCGCTCTCAGAAAAAACGTCCAACCTTTGCAAACACACACCCGCTGATAAATTCCCAACTTTCAACATATAGTCATAAAAACCAATATTAATGTGTCATTGAATGTGGGTGCTCCTTCCACTCCGCAATTTTGAATGCAGAGAGAAAAGAGTCTCGAGAAAAGGCACATCCACTTGTTTTGAATTTCGTTTTAAAATTTTCAGGATCAAAAAGTTCCTTATTAAACATTGGATGCACTAGAGGACGTTGAACAGACTTTTACAAAATTAGCTGTAATATAAGATTTCAGATTCTTTAGGTTTGAAAAGCCCCCCACAAGAAATTAAATTGTGAAGTACTCGCTTTGGTCCCCTCTGAAACAGTTATTTTTTGAAACTTTTGCATTTAAAAAATGTGGATTTTTTCCAATTGGGCGCCACGAATGATTTCTGTGTACGCTCTACAGTCTGATGTTAGAAAACCTGAAGGTTTTGTGTTTTTTTTCATCTGAATTGGATACAATTAGTATTGTAAACGTTTAGCAACCCTTCCCTTGAAAGGGTTTCTTAGGGGATAAAACAAATTTTCTTAAATATTCAATATTCGGGTAGTCCTTTATTTAGTATGTCCCCATAAAACAGCATCGAAAATTTGTAGATTCTTTAAGAACTGAGTGAAAATATCGTTGGTAAATATTTCATATTTAAAGGCACATTGATAAAGCTTGCAAACTTAACTCTTGAAGGAGTATATAAAATGGTTTTTCGATCGATTAGAAAAATATTCAACACACTTTACATCGCATTTAGGTAGTTTCCTTTTGTCAATCGATTTCTAATTCCCCCTTCTTTCCTTTTCCAGGAATACACCGGCCCCGGCGAAGAACCAGTCGTAGAGAAACCATCCAAAGATGAAATCAAGGTTGCCAAATGGATGAAGAAAAATGTCAAAACTAAGAAAACCAAATTCTTGAGTCACAATGTGGAATATTTCACATCGAGTAAAGCCATTGATGCTCTAATGAAATCGAAATTTGCCGAAGGCTCAACACCCTTGTTTACAACACGTGAACAGGTGATTGAGTTCCTCGACATTATGTTGGAGCACAAATTTTTCCATCGAGCCAAAAAGGTACCAATTAGTATAGAGGGAGCAAGTGGTGGATCGTCAGCAGCTGGCAAGAACAAAGAAGAAAAGAAAGACAGCGAGAAAAAGGACAGTAAGAAGGAAGAAAAGAAAGATGCTGCCGTTGATTCCGCAGATGCTGGAGAATTGAGCGGCAACAACGGTGCCGGCAGTGATGAGAATGGTGGCACCTCCGCCACGGGTGAAAAGAAAGAGAAAAAGAAACGTAAAATCCGTTTGGATATGCATCCGGAACAGGTGTTTGTTGATGGCTCTGAGGCCTATGTTTGGATATTTGATCCCATACCCATACATTATTGGATTTATGGTTTGGTATTGTTACTGGGCGCCATTGGCATTTGTATGTTCCCCCTGTGGCCACCAATGTTGCGCAAGGGTGTCTACTATCTATCGGTGGCAGCTGCTGGTTTCCTTGTTTTCATTTTGGCTTTGACGATATTACGTTTGATCATTTTCACCATTGTATGGGCTGTCACAGGTGGCAAATTGCATTTGTGGATATTCCCCAATTTGACAGAGGATGTGGGTTTCTTTGCCTCGTTCTGGCCTTTGTATGAGGTGGGTGTGGAGTAAATAGTTTCCAAGGCTTTTTCAATATTTTGATTTCTTTTTTCAGAGCAAATATGTGACCGCCGACGAAGATGAAAAATCCTCCAAATCTAAGAAAGGTTCCAAATCAAAATCCAAGAAATCCAAAGAGAAAGACAGCGACAACGAGGACAATGATGATGTGGCCCCCGACACTGAACCCTTGGAACCTGAGAAAATCGAGGAAATCAAAGAACATGATGCCGATGTTTTACTGAGACGTCGCAATGTCGGCGGTGGTGGTGGTGACGACAGTGGCAGCAGTAGTGCCAATGAGGCCCAACAAGAAACAGAATCTGCTAAATGGTGAGCATTTTTCGCTAGAATCTCAATTGAAGAAAATAAAATTATGGATTTTATTTTTGTTAATTCAATAATATTTATTTATATTCCATTAATATAGAATTAGAGAAATGCAATTTCTAACCCCCTCTGTCCCTGCTTATTTTAACCATGGTCATGTGTTCCTTTATTTTATTTTTGTTTTTCATTTAAATGAATAATGCCTTTTAATTTATGCGCTTTCTTCGAAAAAATGCATGTCGGTTTTTATAAAAAAAATAATCAATATATTAAATAATATATTTAATACTTTATTGAATAAAAGCTTTGAAAAATATTGATTTATAAGACATTATTTATTGGCTAATTCACGATTTTAGTAATAGTTTGTAGATCTTCAGTATCCATTCGTGAAAGTTTTCTGGATAACTTTTAAGGGGGATTCATTATCATTGCATTTTTTAAATTAAGTTATTTGTTCAAACCAAAGGAGAAGGAAAACCTTTCAGACACAACAATACAATTGCGGTATAAGACTTTCTAAAAAATTGCGGTATAGGATTTTCTATAAAGTGTAACTTTTTAAGAGCTTCAGGCAATAAAAAAACACAAACAAATAATAAAATGTTCAAAGAACATCTCATGAAAATATTGACCACGACTGCGCCTCATATGGTCCATCCGCTTAGTCCAATATTGGCATTCTCTTTCCAACATATCGGCCGGTATCTCGCCTTAACACAGCCTCACAAAAAATAGTCTAAAGCGGTTAATCGTACGATCTAGGCGGCCATTTGACCGATCCCGAACGAGACATAAAATATTCAACGAACTCGTCGCTTAATAAGACCAATGTTACGTATATGACTGATCCGAAGAGATACGCTGGACATTTTGACCGACAATTTGTTGAGCTCCCTGAGAGCTATGGGTCAAAGCGAAGAGTACTACATCATACCGGATTTCCTTTCGCCAAGGAGTCACCATAAAGATGGGTGATGTTGTAAATGTTATCCGAAACGCTAAGTCATCCCAGACAACTAAGTTCGCGACCTGTTGAAACAGGTTGAGTACCTGATAAAAGTTCGCAACCACTATCTTCTCGAAGCCTCGAAAATTAGCCAGTTGTTCCCGCTACTGAAGCCAGACAAGAATAACAACAAAGGGGAATCATACAGTCTTATTTCGCCTTTTTCGGCAGCAGTAAAGACTTAGAGATCGTAACGTACGTACGGATGAATGTACGATTATGGCTTCGTCTGGTATTGCTAACATATGTGTACGGTGTCTGTTTCGCGGAACTTGCCACCTACATCCACGCGATGAATATGAAAATATTCACCACTAAATCAACGTCCACACTCTTTTCCACATGCGGAGATAATAAGAGAGCCGAATGTGCAGGTCGAGGGAAATACTGGGTGAGATTAAAAAATCTGCAAGAAAGTCAAACGCCATAATTTTACATTGTTTTTTATTTTTAATGAATGGAAGCAAAAAATGTCGGAAATAGCATCAAATTTTAGAATAAGTTTAGTTTTGTTCGAATTGGTCACCTTTGGCACAAATTACGGCCTTCAAACGGCCAATAAAACCGTCACACGCTGCCCGAATGTTGCTCTGTGGTATTTTGGCCCATTTCCGGCGAAGCGCTTGCTTGAGGTGATCGGCACTTTGGTATTTTTTAGTGCCAACCTTGCTTTCCAAAATAATCCAGACACAATAGTCCAACGGATTGGTATCCCGAGATTTTGGTGGCCATTGTGCGATGGAAATTTGTAACCATTCTTGGGTGGCGAGTGCTGAGTGCGATAGTGTTGAATCCTGGTGGAATGTCCAAGGTCTGCGGCCAAAATGGTGCTTTAATACACCCTCCAGAATAATTTCGCGATAATATTCGAAATTTATTCTGATGCCACGGTCGAATAATACGAGCGGAGAGCGACCATTGGCTGTTATAGCGGTCCACACCATTACCATGGCCGGCGATTGCGTTCTGGTGGCCAACCGAAGGTGCACATTTTCAGCTGACCTCTTTGGCAAGTATACACGATTATATTGTTTGTTTACAAACTGCTGGACAAGGAATGTTTTCTCATCGGAGTAAACCAAATTCGGCAGTTCACCAAGCGAAGCAACTCTTTAGCTCTTTTGAGTCTATTTTCTTTCTGTTGCTGTGAAAGTTCTTGCACTTTTTCGAATTTTAATGGCTTTACACCGAGTTCATTTTTCAATATTTGCCGAATGGAATATTGCGATATGTTTAGGTCACGAACCATTTTTCGGCCACGAACAGCTGTCGGAGAAGTGGCTTATAAATGACAGCAGTCTGAAGTTGGTTGCAGTTATTTCATCTCTCCCTGTATATGTGGACGGTTCAACTATCGCGGAGCTTACCAACTACTTCCCCGCGAGGGGATATGAAAATATCCGAAAGTAAATCAACGACCACACTCTTTTACAAATAGTTTGCGGAGATAATAAGAGAGCTGAATGTGCAGGTCGAGGGAAATGTAATACTGACAACGAATTACCTCTTGATCCAATGGATCACATTCAACAGCAAGTTTTTCGCGCAAGCCACAGCTATCAACGACAAAATGAAAAGTAGGAACAAGGTCAACAAGGCACTACCCGGCAGCACTTGCGGTGCGGACAAGGAGACCCTGTTGATCGATAAGTCGGTCTGTGATCAGCTATGCGCCCCCAAAGTGGTCTGCGAATACAAGTGCTACGCAATGGAAGAACATCCAAACCTTCCTTCCCGTATGTCAGCGTACTCATATGTTTTTCGTTGCAGTACCTGCTTGGATGTTATCGTGGAAATCATCCGAATCATCATATGGGGGATAAAACACCCCCACCCGGAAGTGTCAGGAATGACATACAGGATCTAAAGAGGGAGTTCCAACGCCATAAGAGAGAAAGAGAGAGAGAAGCCTATCAGGCAGTCACAGATGCCATAAACCGCTACAGTATGATCATCCCACCCCCATCCATTGGACCTTAAAATGTCTGCTGAATAGACAAACCAGGCTAGTTCTGGCGCTTTTACGTTCAGTAGTCGTCGAAAATCGTATTGGGCACGAACTAACGAAGATGTACTAAACGTCTGCCCGGGGTGTGACACAGGCACCTCTTTAATTGCTCTGCCAAACGTACCCCACTCTATCTAGAGGATTTGTGTATACAGCCTGCCAATGTAGCCGAATTTTTGAACCTGGGGCTAAAACCAAATTAGCAGAAATCCAACAAAATATGTGAAGTCGTTACAACAACTCAACGACGACTCAAAAATGCTTTAGTTTGTCGAATTGTGGTTCCATGCATGGTCTACATAAGGTTGGCCAGTAAGCCTATCTGACAACTATGGTTGCCGTCAAAATAATTATTTTAACAGTTTTGTGGAATATTTAGCATTTAACTGTTCAGAATCTCCATGAAATTGGCATTACAACTCCATACTGCTATACATCTCTCATGTACCTAAAGAATTTGCTTTTATGTGATATCTCAATAGCCCAAAAGTATTCTCGAAGCCGTATATTTGTTGTATAGTCCTATAATTTTCATGGTTGAGGGTTGGAACGTGACTTATCATATTCACATTAAATGCATGCAAATTACCCTAAGATATGCAGAACAACGTAGTCTAATTTTCAATGTGGTCAACTAATAGGAATCTATTAAATATAGATTTTTGTTAAGCCCATGTGTGTTTCTAAAAAAATAAATAAATGAGTTGTGATTGTATAAAGATCGCAGAATTAGAAATGAGAGAAAAACTATATTTTCAGAAAGGAGCTTTCACATCCGAATATTTACTTTTGTATGTTGGAATGATGAATTGAAGAGACAATAAATTGTAAAAGACCATTTGTAAATTTAGAAAATATGATCAAAAGTTACTGCTTCCTAACCTGCAAAGCAGTTGATAATTGAAATTAGGTCCAGAAATTCCACAGACTCATCATAATTGGCGTTAATGACTTACGAATCCGATCTAACTTTCATAGCCTTTCTACAAATTGGTGATTTTTTTTTTTTTTGAAAAATACGCAATCGCAGTCTTGACTTTTCTTTCAGTATTAGTTGTATTCGTTAAAGTCGGTCCAAATCTTAAATCCTGTTCGCAGGCTGGTTGCGTTGTGTTGTGTTTCGATGAAATTGAGAAGGACGGTTACATTTCGCACATGCAGACATTAATTTGTATAGATCGGTCGAAAAATGAGAAAGCCTTTTGACAATGGTAACCGTGATTTTGAACATGCTTACCTTATTAGCATTAATAGTTCGCAATCTAAATCCCTGTTAGTTGATATATGTCCACGTTGGGTAGGCCCTCATAAACAATACCTACCGATATAGTTGACAGAATTGTCTGGAATTTGTGATTTGACAATTGTATTCCATATTTTGAAGGTTTTACAGCCGAAATTATGACTTTAATTTAGCATTACTCATTCTTAAAGGGTAGGAAATGACCTTAAAGACTCGTAGTATAGCTTCTTCTTTCAATATAACGTACATTCAAATGAACTCTTATTGAAAAATAGTTTTTTGTAAGAATACCACGGAATATTTTTGGAAATAGTATAGAGGGTATATTAATTTTGTCATTCGGTTTGTAATACCTCGAAATATACATTTTAAACCCCACAAAGTATATATTCTTATGTCGATTTAGCGATGTCCGTCCGTCTGTGGAAATCACTCTAGCTTCCGAACGAAATGAAGTAGGTTGATATAAGGTCCACGTTTTGGTATAGCCCACATATTATGGTACCTCCCTATATTCGGTATTTTTTTTTTGATTTTAGTTACATTATTCACCGATGTTTTTCTCATTTGAATATTGTAATGGCTTTTGACAAAAGTTGCCTATGCAGGTCCACCTCGTCGTATAGATCCTAATATAACGGCTATATTCTGTATTTTAAAGATTTAAACAGAATTTTTAAAGGATTTTTTTTTTTGAAAATTGCCAAATTCATTCCAAATGGTAGAGGCTATTCAAAGTTCGGCCTGGCCGAACTTACTGCTTTTTTATTTGTTGTACTTGCTGTGGAGTTTTTCGTCGCTAATATTAATGCAAAATTCTTTCGTTCGTTCTATACACCTTTCGTCGATTTTGGATCCCAAGAACGATCGGTATGTTAGGGAAAAGGGATACTACATCAGATAAAATCATTCTATTATTTTCCTTGATCATATTTCTAATTTTATTTTTGAAAGCCATTGAGTCCTGAACATTGTATTTGATTTTTTCGGTCAGATTCCGGAGGAAGTTAAACAATCGTTTTGCATGAAAATGTTTTAATATTTTTAATAGAATATTTGCTTTTTAAAGTATAGTATTACAAAAGAACAAAAAAAAAAAAATTACCGCGTATGCCTGAAACTTAGGTCTGCTTAATTTTTTACAATTCCATAATTCAATGGATTACACAAAACACTGTTTTATATTCTTAATTTATTATTTTCAAATTTATTCTATTTTGTTCCAAAAAAGTCGATTTTTTCACTAATTCTGATCTTTTTTGTATTTACAGTTCACACAACGAATCAGAATCTGAGTCGTCGGATGGCAAAGACTATGAAATAATCAATTCAAGTGAAGTTGACAAAAACTAATGACGAGTGAGTGAGTGGCAATGGAACTCTAAGCCGATGTTGGATTCTCTCTCTTCAATTTCTCTTCAAATCAGATCAGACATTGTTAACCAATAAGAGAAAGCAAGAAATGAACTTCACTAAAAGATTAGTAAAAATGAAATAAAAAATTGTAGAGAAATAAAAAAAAACAAATGTCGTCGTAAAGGAATAAAAAAAAATATTGACACCCACACAAACACATACGCATATAACACACCACACATTCGTATATGTAATTGTAAATTATTTGGCTTAAATTGTAATACATATTTTAAGCTAGGCTCTCCACCATCCCCACCCCCACTTGTTCCTCCAGACACTCACTAGGTTTTTAGACTACTCTACTCATTAACTAAAACGTTTTATTGGGCTCTCACACCCATAATGTCTCTCTCGCTCTCTCTGTATCTTGGATCTTGTTGTCAAACACTCTCCTAGTTGTCTATGAAAGAAAATATTGAAAGTGGATTAATTCGTTAAAAAACTAAATTTAATTATTAAAAAAAAGAAAAAACAAAAACTTGAATGAGAAAAATGATGATATTTTTGAAAGAGCTTTGTATGAAAAAGACGTAGAAGCAGAAGAAGTAAACAGCGAAACGCAAAAAGTGATTGATTTATCTAGCAAATTTTACTCTTTTTACTTTACTTTATTACAATATATTAGGGAATTCAATTTTAATAAATGAATAAAAGAAATACAAGCATACATATATAAAAAATTATCGAAAAGTAATCTAAAAAATTAAAAACAATGAAAAATGCATTTCTCGTAGATCAGCAGCAGCAAGCATTTGAGTTCTTTGTTGCTTTGGTTTTGTTTCCGGAAGACATGGGGTGGAAAGATTCAGGGGTCTAAATTCTGCATTTAAAGTTCATATTAAAATCCAAAAAAAAAAAAAGACAAAATCATAAAATATTGATGTTAATGTTTTCAAAATTACTGAGCCTCTAATCAGAGCTCTACTTTAATCCTTTTTATGAGTGAAGTTTCAGTCTAGATTATTTTGAATTACCAGAAATGAATTTCCACTGAAGAAAAGAAATTTAAAATAATTCATATAATTAATTGTTAATCTTCGGAATAATATTACCCCTTAGACCTTTCGATCACATGTCTTCAACACCTTCACATCCAACAAAAGCCAACCAATTAAATGATTTTATATAAAAAAACTTTCCAATTTCCTATATTGATTATTATTGTTATTGACAATTTGTAACCACCATCCTTCCTTCCACCTCTCCGAATATGGGATATCTGAATTTTATTGCAATATTTTTACAATTTTTCTTTAATTTTTGTTAAATTTTTTTTTCAAAGATATTATTTTTTTTCTGATGGAAAATAAGACATGTTATATTTTTTGTTCTAGTTTAAAAAACAAACAACAATAACAATACATGATGAAAATCTTTTTTAGTGAAATATATCAATATAATTTAAATGATAAACTTTAAAACTATTTAGCAACACAAAACTAAATAAGAATAAAAAGTATTTCATAAAAAAAAAAACAAAAAAACTATAAACTTTGTTTATATTAAAAACATATGGAAAATTAAAAAAAAAAAATAAAAAAATATTTACAAAATTACAAAACTGTTTTATTTTAATGTGGATCTTTAACAGAATATTTATTCATCTGTTGGTAGAACGTGAATTTTTCAAAGATTTTTTTAAAGGACCATAGAATATATTATTGTGGCAAAGAATATATTTTAAGGACAAATTAACGCGGATTTTTTATTAAGGACCTACAGAATGCGAATTTTTCAGGAATATATTTTTTACGGATCGTGGATTTCTTTTTGATTTTTTTTTGAACGAAGGATTAATAAAAATATACATAAAAAATATTCACAAAATTACAAAAATGTTCTATTTTAGTGTGGATTTTTAAAATAATTTTTATTCAGATACCAACAAAACGTGGATTTTTCAAAGTTTTTTTAAAGGACATTCTTTGGTCCCTTATGACAACAAATATATTAAAAGAACAAATAAAACACGGATTTTTTGTAGAGTGATTTTTTTAAGAAGCAACAGAACGTGAATTTTTAAAAAATATTTTTTCAAGGATTTTGAATTTTTTAACGATCGATTTCTTCAAAGACCCACGAAATTTTGATTTTCAAAAAATTGTTTCAAACAAGGAATATTTTAAAAATATTTAACAATTATTTTTTTAAAGTGGATTTTTCGAAGCATATTTTATGGCTTTTTTAAAAAAATTATTTTATTTTTATGGGCCAGCTAGATGTGAGGTTTTAAGTAGTATTTTTTATTGGCTAGTCAAACCGTGGCTTTTAAACAACATCTATTCAAGGAACCATATTTTTTGATGAATCAATCAAAAGAACATTTTAAACAGTTTTTGTTGTAGCAGCTCATACTGCTGTGTTCGTTCTGACTCCTCTCAATCGGATTCTGCTTCTAAGTCCAGTCTCAAAAGGCAACTTGTACGGATTGGGTCCACAACGATACTGGAGTTAGTTGAGTAGGTTTGGCTGGGCAGGGTGTCATGTAGGCATGTGCCACAAGCTGGGCAGATGTTCTGCACATCGCTATTAATCCGTGCCCAATACGAATCGAAGCGGCTTATCTTAAAAAAAAATTACTCGGGGTTGTCGGGGCAGCTCTCGCTCTTCAAATGCGATATAGGCCTGTTGATCTATCTCTCTAGATCATGAAGGTCTTTCCTTACGTGCCTGGGCGGAGGTTGCCTAACCAACAAATGGTGATTCGGATGGCTTTGTCTGTAATTCCTATGGAAGTATTGCATTGACAGCATTTTATTATGCTGTCGCACCGGTAAGATCTTCGCCCCCCTCATGTAGATGGTCGACAGGTGCCATGAGAAGGCGGATTGCAAACCGTAAAAAACAAGTAAAATAGTATCAGTCGGTTTTGCCAACAGATCTATACCCCCAGCCTTGAGTTATGATTATTCAAATTGTTGACCCTTTATGGGGGAGTTTCCCAAGCAGTTGGCCAATATTGTCCAATTCGTATCTGACCTAAGACTGATAAAAATATTACAACTTGCAGATTTGGACTATATCGACTACTTCCTGTACTTTATATGAGATATGTGCAAATTTTTGGAAAATGTGGATATATGTGTGACGTAACAGATATAGCGGTCCAAAGTATTCCATTTTCATACCTCATCTAATACAGATAAAATATTCGTATGTGCAAAATTTGATGGAAATCGAAAAATAATATCCAGTTTTATGCGAAATCATAAATGTTGACAAATTACAAATTCATATCAGATTTCTGGTTGAGAGAAATATTTAGATATAGCAAGTTGTAAAGAATCGCCGACTTGTTTCGCAAGTAATGACAGATAAAACGATTGGAAATTGTGACTCTTTGTGGGTGAGGTACAAGAAGGGGTTCGCAGCTATATATATCATCTTCACAACAGATCCTGCCTTAGCAAAAATATTTGGATGTGTGAAATTTGAAGAGAGTTGAGTTGTTTTTCAAAATCGTCTGTGGGGGAAGTACCAGTAAGTCGAAGTAATGGGATGTGTGAAATATAAAGCGAACCTGATGCTTATTTCGGATTTTATATTCGTTTTGGTTATTTAAAACTTTTGACCCTTTGTGGGGGTGCTACCAGAAGGAATGGTTCGATATCTACCATCTTTATAACAGATCCTGTGTTGATAGAAAGACGATATGTGCCAAGTCTGAATGGAATCGGTTGTTAATTTCGTGTTTTATGAAGTTCTTGAATATTCAAAATGTTGGCCCTTTGTGAGAGAGGTTCTAGAAGGAGTGGACCGATATATTCCATCTTCATACCAGATCTTGGTTTAACAAAAATATTGTGATGTGTGGAATTTTGTTTATTACATTACATTTTATAAGAGTTATAATTATTCTTTTGTGGGGGAAGTACTGGATGGAGTGGACCAATATTGTCCACCTGACCTAGGACTGATGTAAATATTAGGGTTTGGTTGAAGCAAAATTGGATTATCCTTTCTTTTGCTGTGCTTTCTATATTCTTTGAAAAATTTGACATTTTGTGGGGAGGTACCAGAATGATATTGCCCATCTCCGAACTCTATCTAAGTTTAACAGTAATATTACGATGTACTACGTTTGAATCAAATCGGATACTCCCTTCGAGAGTTATGGTGCGCACCAGCCAGCAAAACAGACAGGCGGACGAACATCGCTAGATCGACTCCAAATGTCTTGAAACGGATTTGGTCCAATGAGACCTAGGGTCTAAAAGCGTTATTTCGATGAGGTACGTTTTGACCGTTTCAAATGATATATACCCTCTGTAGCCATATGGCCGAAGGTATACATTTTTTTAGATTGTAAAATGTACAAACGATATTTGATTTGGTCAATAGTGATGCCATGGCTCGGCTTTCCTGTTCCTTGGCTTCATCGTTGTCGGTCATAGCTCTCATTCCATCGAATGAGGAATGAGAATCGCCCACGAGTGACATTTAAAAAGTAAAACGCCATGCGCGTCTTCGCCAAGAACTTTGTATTTATTCACTTTACGAATGTAATGCCAATGTTGTGGAGAAATAACCTGCCAAGACTAAGAAGCCTTGTACTTGATTAATTTTTTTCGGATGTTCTTTTAAATTTAATCTCGGGATTATTGTATGTTCTCTTCTTAGACTTATATTTTTTTAGTTGGGACTCTTGTTTTTCTCTTTTATTTTTATACCCTCTACCATACTATGGAGGGTATATTCATTTTGTCATTCCGTTTGTAACTCATCAAAATAATTATATAAGAGCCAACAAAATATATATTCTTGATCAGCGTAAAATTCTAAGACGATTTAGCCATGTCCGTCTCTTTATCTGTCTGTTGTAATCACGCTATCTTTCGAAGGAATTAAGATAGAAGGCTAAAATTTTGCACACATGTTTATTTTGCCAGTAGGCAGGTTAAGTTCGTGAATGGGCCAAATTTTCATATAGCCCCCATATACGGTACCTCCCGATATTCGGTATTTTGATGATTTTAGCGACTTTATTCACCGGAATTGTTTCATATTTGGCATTTGAAGTTCGAAATGGATACTACAGCCTGAGACAGAAAATTGTCTGTGCAAGTTCAGGTCTTCGTATAGGCCCAATATATCAGTACCTCCTTTTTCGGTATTTTGACGATTTTAGGTACAATACTCACCGAAATTGTTTGAGATGTCGTATTTGAAGTTCGTAATGAAAGCTTTTGCTGTACAGAAAATTGTCTATACAGGTCCAGGTCTACGTATGGCTCCTATATAACGGTACCTACCTATGTACGGTATTTTGATGACTTTGGCTACATTCTTCACCGTTTATTTCAAGTTTCGTATTTGAATATGGTAATGGCTTGTGACAAACAATGCCTATGTAGGTCCACGTCGTATAGGCCCCAATATCATGGCTATATTCGTTAATTTTAAGATTTTAACAGAATTTTATAAGGATTTTATTTTTTGAAAATTTCCAAATTCATTTGAAATGGTGGAGGGTATTTAAAGTTCGGCCCGGACGAACTTACAGCGTTTTTACTTGTTATTATTGCACTTTAGTTTTTTTCAGTAGTTCTTTTCATGGTAAAATTAAAAGCTTTTAAGGAACTACAATCTAATAATAATCGTTTCGAAAATCTTGTAATTAATTTCCTAAATAAAAATTCTAAATATGAGTTAATTGCCATGAAATTGAATAATAAGTGTTTTCATTTTTAATTCCTGCCAAAATATGCCTTCACGGCATAAAAGAAAACCCTCAGTGTAAAGTAGTAAATAACTTCGACCAAACACAGGACACTAAATCCCAAAAAGAGGCCAGCTGTGCCGCCAATAGAAACTGCAAAAGAAAAACTGATTATTAATGGAACGTCTTCAGATAAGTATAAAATAAAAAAAATCGACATTAACTTACCCATCAAATCGGTAAATGAGAAAATTATTTGACGCTTCAGACGATAGGTGGGTAAATTGATCATGGCGAAGAGGAGGCTATTGCCACCCACTAAATCATTGGTCTTTTGCATGTGCTGTAGGAAGGAATTTAGATTAGTTTGTAATTTGAAGAGATTGGGAGTTATTGAGGAAAAACTAGAGGGGAATCATGGTACAATGATATCAAGGTAGGGCCATGGTACAATGATATCAAGGTAGGACAGAACTACCATATGATTTCAATTTTTTTATTTTCTTGGCCTAATACGTCATCTTTTTTGTTTATGTATGTGTTTTCTTTTCAATAACAAAAAAATTGTTCAGAAAACATTCAAATTCGGGTGTTTTCAAAATGTTCATTTCAACGCATGCATCGACAAAATCTAGAGTTTTTGTAGCGAAATAATCCTTTAGAGACATATAGTACATGATTTTGAAAAGAAGTGTTGACCTTTCATTCAGTTATCGCGGTTTTCAATTATTTATTCAAAATAAATGCAACAAGTTGTTTGATTTTTTATTGTTTTGATACTAATTCTGACATTACAAGCCAAACAGGTAGACCTCTATACTTGCATTTTTTTCAAAGTTGGCCTACCTTCTCTTCATTGTACCATGAGGGGAATGATCTTATTTCTAACACAAATTGCAGTTGTTTGTGGAAATTTGGAGTCTTATATTAGGTTTACTGAGTATACAGAGAATACAGGGTGAGATGAAAAAACTGCAACCAACTTCAGACTGATATCATTTCTAAGCCAATCGTCCGACAGCTGTTAAAATTATTCCAGAGACAGCTCATTATATTGTTAATAAGCGTATAAAAGCATTTTGGTGAGAATTTTCCAGAAAAAAAGTTATTCGTGATGCAATTCAAGCGTGATAGTGTGATTTCTTTAAATTCGGCTTGAAAGCCACAAGTGGCTATCGATAGAGCGCTCCAGCATTTAAATGTGAATAAATCTTTTGTATATTGTATCATCGCTCGTTACCGTGATACTAGTAGCGTAGCCCGACGTCAAGGAAGTTGACGAAAGAAATCAGCAACATTAGCAGAAATGGTTCGAAAAGTAAAGAAGCGACTTGATCGAGTGGTCCGCCTCGCAGTGGTCGAAAAATGGCTCGTGAGCTGAACATATCGCAATATTCCATTCGGTAAATATTCATGAGTTCGGGGTAAAGCCATCGAAATTCCAAAAAGAGCAAGAACTTACACCGCAACATAAAGAAAATAGACTCAAAAGAGCTAAAGAGTTGCTTAGCTTTGTCGAAAGTGGTGGACCGTCGAATTTGGTTTTCTCCGATGAGAAAACATTCGTTGCCCAGCCGTTTGTAAACAAACAAAATGATCGTGTTTCCAAAGAGGTCAGCTGAAAATGTGCACCTTCGGTTGGCCACCAGAACTCAAGCGCCAGCCATGGTGATGGTGTGTGCCGCCATAACAGCCGATGGTCGCCCTCCGCTCGTATTAATCGACCGTGGCATCAGAATAAATGCCGAATATTATCGCGAAAATATTCTGGAGGGTGTATTATAGCTTTGGGCAAGCAAATATTTTTTTGCTGCAGACCTTGGACATTCCAACAGGACTCAGCACCATCGCACTCAGCACGCGCCACTAAAGAATTGTTACAAAATGAGGTTTCTCGCTTCATTTCCAGCGCACAATGGCCACCCAAACCTCCGGATACCAATATGTTTGGCTATTGTGTCTGGAGTATTTTGGAATGCAAGGTTGGCACTAAAAAATACCTAAGTGTCGATCACCTCAAGCAAGCGCTTCGCCGGGAAGGGGCTGAAATACCGTAGAGCAACATTCGGGCAGCGTGTGACGGTTTCATTTGCCGTTTGAAGGCCATAATTCGTGCCAAAGGTGACCGATTCGAACAAATCTAAACTTATTCTAAGATTTGATGCGGCTTTTTCGACATTTTTTGCATTTAATCAATAAAATTAAAAAAAAAATAATAAAAATTATTGCGTTTGACTTTGTTGCAGTTTTTTATCTCACCCTGTATATTGGAATCAAAATATTAATTCGTTTCTCAGCTCCCTTACCCTTTTTTAAATCCTTGACTTCATTGAGGTACTTACATATTTTGCTCTCTTATTCACAATGGCATCTCGACAATTCTGCACGCAATAACACGGAACTGTATCCCTGCCACCATCCTTATTGACTTTGTACATTTTTATAAAATAGTCTACATTCCGAAAAGTAAAAAAAATAATAATAAATAAAATGTAAAGAAAGATATGACTAAGCTCTTTTGGAATTAGACTCACCTGCATGCTGCACAAAACAATCGAGGAGTGTGCGATAATCACAAATGGGTTTGGGCTTAGCAACTGTAAAGAAATTGACACATTTATTTTAGGAAAATTAAGTTTTAGCTCCAATTGGATTGTTGGGAGGGGGGTATGCCCTGATTTACTCTTCTTCGTCGGTAAATATTTTTATTATCTTCTTAAGAGTCTGAAATGCTTTCATCGATATTCGCTGTTTACAAGGTTTGTGATAAATAAGAATGATCTGGAAGTGGAGGCTACTGGAACCAATTTGGTCACAATTGGCTTGCTGACCGACGGGGTTGAAACCGCAGGTTACGGCGAGTAGGTTTAAATCGTTGACGATTTATTGGCCTCGGGATGTGGTTTCTTAGTGGACCTCCCTTTTGTCAAAGCTGAGCTTGAAGAAGACCGCCGAGGCTATGGTCGTCATCGTTTCTACTTTTCTGATTCTTTCCCCTCCGTAGTCTGTGAGGGGTCTCGGCCAATAAACATGTTGCAGTATTTTACTGACAGCCGAGGTTATGGTCGTCACAGTTTCTACCTTCCTGGCTTTGTGCCTTCTGCGCTTTTGTTGCGGGTATTTTCGACTCCGCGGGGACAGCACTTGATTACATCGTTGGTACGACAAGGGGGTTTGTCTTCCCATCAGCAGCTGCGTCTTGACCGCCACGAAGTCCTCAGCGGAAGTTTGGCCCATGAGTTTGCTGTCCTTATTGAGATCAATAGATGGGAGAGTGAGAGCATCTGAATCAAGGGAACAATGTGGCAGTTTCGAATGGTCTTTCTCGAATTTCCGTACTACCTAGAGTTTCATCATGATCAAGATTCTTTCCACCTTCGTAATCTGTGAGGGATCTAGGCCAATAAACATGTTGCAGTATTTTACTGACCGCTGAGGTTATGGTCGTCACCGTTTCTACCTTCTGTTGTGGGCGTTTTCAACTCCGTGGGGACAAAACTTGATTCCATCGTTGGTACGACATCCATTAGCAGCTGCATTTTGACCGCCACGACGTCCTCAACGGAAGTTTGACCCACGAGCGGGCTGTCCTCATTGAGATCAATGGGTGGGAGATTGAGAGAATCTGAATAAAGAGAACAATGTGGCAGTTTCGAATGGTCCTTCTCGAATTTCCGCTCTACCTTGAGTTTCATCCTGATCAAGATTCTTTCTCCCTTTCTAATCTGTGAGGGGTCTCGGCCAATAAACATGTTGCAGTATTTTACTGACCTTTTATAACTTCCTCTTGCTGTGGCCTCTTTTGGTTCGACGCCTTGGTGGGCTCCTACATCGATGAGTTCCTACATCGATGGTGTATTGCGTTGGAGGACTGTCTCAATATTACAGCGTGACCTCACCTGAATTGCATGGAGAGTGTTCCCTGCGGTTTTCTGTCAAGTCATTTTGACAAGTGCATGACGTCAAGTTCCTGATCAGATAGAGATGACTTATCACAAAATCAGAGGGAACACTCCCTAACTAAGTCTCAGTACTCTCAGTGGTCCAAGCGAGCGGACAACTGTACACTTTATAGTTGAATGCTGTCGCAAATTACGTCACGGCACGTCTTTAGTGAATCGTCCCCGGCTGAATTTAAAATCATGTAATTTGTCTTCGTTGCTTCGTTGTGCAAGGCCGTTGCTTCGATAGAAGCATCTAAGTTCCAGGGAAAGTGTACCTTGCGTTTTCCTGGGCGTCTCAATTCTTTTTGACGAGTGGAAGACAGCGACGTCAAGTTTCTCATCAGAAGGTTTGAGTCGTCCCAAAACCAGAGGGAACACCCCCTAACTGAGTCTCAATGTTTGGGGTTTTTTCCAAGAAGCCAGATAACTGTTCTCTTTCTTGGTAAATATTGTCACAGATAACGTCAAGTTACGTCATGAGTGAGTCGTCCCGCCCGAATTCAAAAACATGTAATTTGTCTTGTCCAAGGTCGTTTGGGTGTTATTGGTTTTCTGTCTTTAATGTTCTGCATGGGATTTTTGGACAATGGTAGAGACGACGTCCGCCTCCATACCATGGTTAGGACTTGGCAGCTAAGCAAGTTACTCACTGAGGCACTCAAGTAGCAAAGCAACAGTTCGAATGCAGTCGGTACCCTGACTGCAAACCGTGGAGCACTAATGGGCACGCTTTACATCACACCTCTGCTAAACCAACACAGTTTGCTGGTTATTAATGGGGCTCCAGTAGTTCGCCTCGTTGGACCAAAGGTCACTGGTACTAGGATATTTGGTCCGAAACTCTCTCCCTGGAAACCACTGAGGTGTCCGCGACTGTTTATTTAATTCGCAGCTACCCAATATATTTACTGGGAATTCTGATATCCGTAATCCTTTCGACTTTTTTTTGTGGGGCTATGTTAAAGCTCACGTCTATATAGACGAGCGCGCTTCAATTGACGCTTTGAAAGACAGCATTGAACACTTATTTTTGGGATACCGGCGGAAATTTGGAAATGAAAATTTCAAACATTTTTTTTTAACTTTTCCTGTTTTATAACTTTTTTAAAGCTCTTAGGAATCACCCTTTCAAAGAATTTGTCTTGTTTAAGTGCATGGCTACAGAACAAAGTTTACTTACTTCGATTTGGATAGAAATGCGGTATACACTTGCAGATATCATAGACCAAATTTAAACGACATTCCTGTATGCAGATATTCTTTGAATAGACCGGGTAATGGGTTAAATTGGATTCATGTTGGAAACGGCATTTACGTTGTGATATGGTGGCATCCCTGGAGAAAAGTGAAACACACAATTATTACAAAATTCCAAAAAACTTTACAAAATTCCATACTTCTCAAAACCATCCTCGGTAATGATTTCCATGCACTCAACATCCACCTGCAAGGGTTCATTGGTGTAGCCCAAATTATGATCCACTTGCATTACTTCAAAGGCACTGTGAAGAAATCCCTGTAGGAAACGATACATATTAGTTCCCATAATAATTCCCTAAGACCACACTTACATCAATGGGTTTATTACCAAATCCCAAGAAGTTATAACTCACATCACTGTCAAAATAGCTGCTGTGCTTCACCTCCAACACATTCTCCACACCCTTGACATCATTGTAATTCTCCGAACCCCAAATCATATATTGTGAGGTGAATTTTTCCGACAACATTGTATTGGTCATATAACACAGACCATATTCGGTTAATATTTGCCGAGTCTGTATAATAATATCTCCTGAAGTGCCACGAATTTTATCTGTGGCAATGGCTAAATCTCCTTTGGTCCGCAGGGTATTGTCACCGGTCAGATTATAAATGAGTTCTTGATAGATATTTGGTGTCAACTTCAGACGATCCAGGAGAACAATGATGTTACGATTATTGGGAATATTACGGAAATTATGATAAGTGGAATTGGCCAAGTGCTCGAGAAATTGATATAGGTCTTGGAATTCGTTTTCATTCAAATTGTGTTGGCTGAGTGGTAGGAGAGAAATTATATTAGAAAAAGGTGACTAAATAAAGATGAGAGTACGAGAAAAAAAATAAAGATGAGAGCGAGTGATCCATAGAAAAATGTCGTATTGTGTTGTGAGGCAATGGAATGTAATAGTGGGCTACTTAGGGCTCGAAATTGAATACCCAATCACCTGCTTACTTAAATAGTTCATAGCAAAGACATAAAGCTATAAAGATTGGACAATATGCATGTGACCTATTAATGTTTCGATCACACAGCCTGCATGGCGTCGGCTTTGAAAATGTTACAGAAATATGTCTTTCCGATATGGGCGAAAAATGGCGGAAAACATGGTCTCAAAAATCTATTCCAGACCATTTCTGTGTACATAGAATCGATAAAAATCAGAGAAAATCCTATAAAAGTATCAGTTCTATTATATTTCAACATTATGCTATTCCACGATATGGTGATATAACATACTACCTACGCCATCTATTGAACCAAATCAACAATTAAATGTCCCATCTTATTATATATGTCATTGTTCATGGTAATAAGGTTTGTGTCGAAATTATTATCTGATGGTCTACACCCCAGATTTGGATTTAGACTTTTGTCTTCAAAAATGAAATGAGTTTGTGTCGAAGATAAATTGATGATGGTGTCACCTATTGGTAATTTTAGGAATCATTTCAATGTTTATTTTGTCAAAATCTCCAAAATCTACCGCAAACAACTTTTTTTTAAATTCCAACCAATACTGGTGCCCCAACATGTACTTGTCGCCTTTACAGTGGATGCGATTTGTGAATTCAAGCAAAAATAGTTCTAAGGTTTGTGCCGAAGATAAGTCGATCATAGTGTCACCTTGTAGTGATTCCATCAACTATTTTTTATTATTTTTTCAGAATACCCATACTTTATCTACTTACAACTTTTCGACATATTATAGAACTGGCTTGCAATGACGTTGTAATATTAGAAAAAATAAAATTTCAGGAACTGTGTTTAATGACTTTCGTCAAGATGTCCATATTATATTTACTCACGAAGCTTCTTAATTTAACCCAATGCAGCGTGTAGATGACTTCCTAACTGTGGTTGAATATGTGAATTCAGACAAAATTACAAGCTAATAATTGCTTAGCACTGAGGTTTCACGATAAGTGAATAACAGCAGAAAGTGTTCTAATGTGTTTGGCAAGAATACCCATATCCTACCTACTCACACCGTTTCTTCAAGTTTGGGTACGTTGCTTAACTATATTGCATCCGAAAATGATGTAGGGTTGTAATGCGGACTATACTCATCAATGTGTTTGCGTAGAAGGCAAGTTTATTTGAGCGCCACCAATTTTGTAGATTTCACTATGTACTGGCGTCTGAACATGTTATTGACTGCTGTAGGATATGTGAGTTCAGACAAAAACTACAAGCAAATAGTTTTTCCGCCCTGAGGTTTGTGTCAAAGATAGAACTGTTTTAATTACTTTGTGGTAAAATCCCCATATTCAACGTACTCATAATGTTTTGACATGTTCTGTTTATCTGTACTTTATTGAGTGGAAATCGCGTGCAATTCCGTATTTATCCTAAACAAAGAAGGACAGTTCCAGGAATGAGTGTTTAAAGGATTTCGTCAAAGTTTCCATATTTTACTTACTCGCGAAGCTTATACCTTGCATTTGCGATCAAATCTCAGAAGATAAGCTTGTTACAGCCGCACAATATTCTACCTATCCGCAAAGTTTCGACATATTTTGGAATTGGTCATTGGTACTGAGGTTTGGGTCGAAGATAAGTCGATAAGTCGCGCCATATCGTAAAAATTCCAATAACTGTTTTAAATACTTGGTGTCATAGCCCCCCATATCCAACCTACTCACAACTTTTCGGCATGTCATGGTTTTCTCTTTTCATATGAAGGGAAATACAGTTCAAATCACATTTTATGCTAAAAAGAAGAGAGTTTCAGGAATGCATTTTTAATGGATTTTGTAATAGTTTCCATATTGTGCTTATCAACGAAGCTTCCAGATTTTACCTATTATTAGCGACCAAACTGTATGTGACATGTGAGAATTCAATCAAAGTGACAAGCAAATAGTTCCTTGGTACTGAGGTTTCAAGAAAGATCAGTGTTTTGCAGCCATAACATGAACCAGACAGTGGGTGGGTAGAATTTCCATATTACACCTACACCCAACGTTTCGTCATGTTTTGGAAATTGGGTATGCGTCGGAGATAAGTCGATGAGTTAGCGTCATCTCGTAGCAATTTCTAAAACTGTGTCAGAATCCCCATATCCAATCTAATTACAACGTTTTGGCATTTTATACTTCTTATATGAACGGAAATGGAGAGCGACGAAAGGTGATTACGATTTTTGAAGTTTAATTTCGGCAACAGATGATAAAATCAAATTTCAGCACCATGTAGCAGGAACTGTGTGGGTAAAATTCTCATATCCTACCTACCCACAACGTCTCGACATGTGTTGGAAATGGTCATTGATTGAGAAGTTTGTGTCGAAGATAGGTCGATGAGTTAGCACCATCTCGTAACAATTCCGAGAGCTGTTTAAATTACTTTGTATTAGAATCCCCATATCCAATCTACTAACAGCGTTTCGGCATTTTATACTACTTATATGAACGGAAATGGCGAGCGAATCAAATCGACTGAAGGCGATTTCGATGATAAAATCAAATTAACGCACCATGTAGCAGGAAGTATTCCCATATCATCGGTTCTGAGGTTTGTGTCGAAGTTAAGTCTATGAGTTATTCCGATCTCTTAGCACTGTTTTAATTACTTTTTGTCACAGTCCCCCTATTCCATCTACCCACAACTTTTTGGCATTTTGTAGTACTTAATGAACGGAAATGGGGAGCGAATCAAATCAACTGAAGGCGATTTTAATTTTTAAGGGTAATTTTGACAACAGATGGTTCGGCATTTTATACTACTTAAATGAACGGAAATGGTGTGCGAATGAAATCGACTGAAGGCGATTTCGATTTTTGAAGTGTAATTTTGACAGCGGATGATAAAATCAAACTTCAGCACAATGTAGCAGGAACTGTGTGGGGAAATATTCCCATATCCTACCTGCCCACATGTTTTGTAAATGGTCATTGGTTCTGAGGTTTGTGTTGAAGACAAGTCGGTAAACTAGAGCCATCTCGTTACAATTACCAGAAATGTTTAAATTAATTTGTGTTAGAATCCCCATATCCAATATACTCACAGCGTTACGGCATTTTATACTTCTTATATGAACGGAAATGGTATGCGAATCAAATCGACAGAAGGCGATTCCGATTTTTCAAGTGTAATTTTGACAACAAATAATAAAATCAAATTTCAGCATCATGTAGCTGGAACGGTGTGGTTAGAATTCCCATATCGTACCTACCCATAATGTTTTGACATGTTTTGTAAATGGTCATTGGTACTGAGGTTTGTGTCGAAGATAAATCTATGATTTAGTGCCATCTCGTAGCAATTCCCAGAACTGTTTAAATTACTTCGACAATCATTGCATATTTTTTGGCTCATATGTGAATAAAAAGTGGTAAAAATCGATACTTTCACAATCAGGATACCATCGCGAAAAATAGATTCGAATTTTATGTTTTGAAATACCGAAAGTACATTCTGTGTGTCCTATATTAGGCAATATTAGGCTAAATTATTCTAATGGAATAAAATTTTAATAAATCCGAGATAATATTAAAAAAATAAGACAATTTAGAAGAGTAAAATACAGTTCAAGATAAAAGCTCCTCTAATAGGTCAATGATTGCTCTGTTCTAGAACTGCAAGAATGTCAAACTTTTTACTACGATAATCAATTTTTCCTTTCTGTTATATGGGAAAAATTGCAAAAATAGTAGATTCTCGCAGGTTCTTGAATAGAGCATATTACTACATTAGTTATGTTATTTTTAGACCCAAAAAAATCTATTAGGAGTTCATTGGGTCCCTTATTTTATACATTTTAAACAATACGACAGTTTACGCTTGCTCTTTCCTCACACACATCCCCTTTAGATCAATGACACATTTTTCAACAATTACGAAAATGTTCCCTTAAATCAATCTCTTTTCGAATTGATAATGACATCTCAATGCTGTGATATATTGCCAAACAAAAAAGCAACCACCCAGCAATAGCCATTATCACACCATTCTCATCATCCTCCACATTGTGATGACCATTATCATCATCATCACAACGAGAGCAACGAACAACCCGAATTATTTTGTTGATTAACACACCTACCGGCTATACGCTCGTACTCGTTCCTCATCTAAACGTATTAATGGACATATGGTCACACTGGGCATCGTTGTGTTCCAATAATAAAAATCTCGCTCGAGGCCAACGACGGTACTCTTTGTATAATAACGATCAACAGATTCCAAACCGATTTTTACGCAAAAAAACATCGATACAATTAGAAGCGTCAACCAGAGGCATCTGTAATGGACAGGAAAAATTGGTAGAGCAGTGAATTAGGAGGTAGGGTAGGAAACAATAAACATTAGTAAGTTTTAGTTTTTGATGATGGAAGATAGTTGGTGGCTAGTGGCGGAGTGATAATGGTTGGCTAGCGTTTCTGTTCTTGTGTGAGAATTGGAAACAAATATCTACATTGGAATACATTAAGTGGGGTGGAGGGGCTAAAGTTGCATTATGGTGTATGTAGAAGGGTGAAACGGTTTGGTAATTTTGGGAAATATATTTAAAAAACAACATTAGTTTTTTTTTTAAATCATTCGCTAGGATCACTAATTTGAACAACGAGCTTCAAAATAAATTTGAAGCCATATCGAACCTATCTAACGTGAATCTCGTCAAAATATGTTTGAAGCTATATCGAAACCATTAAACTTAGATTCCTACAAAGCATTTTTGAAGTAGAATCAATAGCATCAAATGTGGATTTCTTCAAAATAGGTTTGAAAGTCTCAAGTGCAATTAAAGCCTAAAATTTGGATTTAATCAAATTTTTGTCAGAAATCCTACTAACCTCTTCAAACGTGGATTTCTCTAAATATTTTTGTAAACATGCATGCATAAATGTTGACTTTTCCAAATTGTTTAGGGCGTATCGGAACCATTAAGATAAGATTCCGTCTCCAGTTAAATAAAATGAATTTTGGTAAGTTATATCTATCCATCCATATATGGGTTGAAGCCAATTTGTATTTTAAGTTCTGCAAGTCGTAATATGCTCCCGATATCAATGAGAGACCTTATATCCATCCTTAAAAAAATATTATAGGCCATTTTAATTCCAAAATTGTAAATGAGAATATCTTTGGCCCAACAGTCGGCAAATTCAGTCTCCATGGTTAATCATCTAAAGATGGATTGAAGTTGATAAACTTCGCAGCGGTTAAAAACATAGCAATTAGGAGTGCCAGATTTATACATCTCGATAATCGAGCTTGTAGACTCGGACTACTACCTTGTTGCAGGAAAGGTGCGTACGATTATGTTGCAAATTTAACGTAGAAAATACGATCGGATACAACACGGAAGTAGGACATCGGTATGCTGCAATCAGAACAGATAGGCACAGCACATTCCACTCAACTGGCCCGATTGCCTAATCAAAACACTTCTAGTGCCAATAACATATCAGCAGAATGTCAAAATATTGCGCACTCCGTGCAAGCAGCCCCAAAATCAGTACTTGGATATAAGAGACCTCCACCAAGGAATCCATGGTATGACCAGGAGTGTCGTGTTGCTACCAAAGAAATGCGACATAAAGGGCTACTTTACAATCCGTAGCAACGCGTTGCACACGTGAGAGGTATCGAGAGAAAAGGAGAGAGAGGAAAAACGTCTTTTATGTAGGAAAAAGAGAGAGATGAAAAAACGGGAGTGTGACATTTTTTCATTTTTCGAGGTGTACAGGGACCAGAATGAAGTCCGAAAATTCTACCAAAGAGTAAAGCATCAAACTGATGGCTTTGGTACAGACAGATAGTGTCCTCAGGATAAAGAAACAGCATTTTTTCAAACTGTTGCTATCCAATAGTAGTGAAGTTGCCAACGATCCCAGATCGAATCTCATAGTATGGTATTGTATGTATACTAACTGCACAAGATGAGGTAAAGACATAAATAATCCGGCTAAAGAAAAAAAGGATCTGCTGTGAAGATGGGATATATCGATCGAAATTTTGAATACCCATGAAGATCATAAAACGCGAAATTCACATCCGATTCCATTCAGAGTTGGCATATCTCAATATTTAAATCAGAAATCGGACCATTTCTGCTGGTACCTCCCCCACATAGGGTTGACGATTTTGAAAAAACAAAACGCTCAAAGAAAAGACGTCAAGGAAGTGGACGGAAGAAAACAGCAACATCAGCAGAAACTTTTCGAAAAGTAAAGAAGCGACTTGATCGAAACCCGCGTAGCAGTGGCCGAAAAATGACTCGTGATCTGAACATATCTCAATATTCAATTCAGCAAATATTGAGAAATGGGCTCGGGGTAAAGCCATTGAAATTCCAAAAAGTGCAAGAACTTACACCGCAAAAGAAAGAAAATAGACTCAAAAGAGCTAAAGAGTTGCTTCGCTTGGCCGAAAGTGGTGACCTGCCGAATTTGAAACAAAAGCTGCCAAAGAGGTCAACTGAAAATGTGCACCTTCGGTTGGCCACCAGAACTCAAGCGCCGGCCATGGAGATGGTGTGGGCCGCCATAACAGCCGATGGTCGCTCTCCGCTCGTATTAATCGACCGTGGAATCAGAATAAATACCGAATATTATCGCGAAAATATTCTGGAGGGTATGCTAAAGCCTTGGGCACGCAACTATTTTGGCCGCAGACCTTGGACATTTTAACAGTACACAGTACCATTGCACGCCACCCAAGAATGGTTACAAAATAAGGTTCCTCGCTGCATTTTCAGCGCACAATGGCCACCAAAATCTCCGGACATCAATCCGTTGGACTATTGTGTCTGGAGTATTTTGGAAAGCAAGGTTGGCACTAAAAAATACCAAAGTGTCGATCACCTCAAGCAAGCGCTTCGCCGGGAATGGGCCAAAATACCGCAGAGCAACATTCGGGCAGCGTGTGACGGTTTCATTGGCCGTTTGAAGGTCATAACTCGTGCCAAAGGTGACCAATTCGAACAAATCTAAACTTATTCTAAAATTTGATGCTATCTCCGAAATTTTTCTTTCATTCAATTTAAAATTAATTAATTAATTATTAATTATTAATTAATTTAAATTAATTTAAAAGAAGAATGTAGAATGTAAATGTTGGACTTTGTTGCAGTTTTTTTATCTCACCCTGTATACAGAGAGAAATTGAGATCTTTTCTTAGTTCGGCCTATGGAACAAACGTTTTCTTCTTCCTTATCATACCACCCCCCTTTCCAAAATTGTATCCCTACCCTATTAGTCCCTGTCCCCCCTAACTTTAAATTGAGTTATTTTCAGTTTGACTATACATTCATGTGGTCAGGCTACTGTCCGTATGCTTTCGGGGGAGTTTGTTGTATTGGCCTTTAGTTGTAGCCAAATTTTTGGGGAACGCTGACCAAAAACGCTTGTTGTATGACCAACTATTTACACAACACCGTTTTGTGAGGAGCAAAGCTGTTCGCAAAGCCACAAATGTATCTACATAGACATAATGGTGCGTTTCAAAGGAAAATCGGAATACACATGCACACGCACATTTTTGAGGCTACATTTAATGGAGAAGGGGTGGGGGTAGAGGGAAAGAGAGAGAGGCTGTGAGTCCTGTACTTACTTTTCAATTGTTGTTAGATCTCCTTTGACCACATATTTCAGACCGTGTATGTTACTATCCTCGAAATAGGCCGCTATAAAAGTGATAATGGTTTTTGTGGTTTTATTCGATTTACTGGCCATTTTTGGTGGTGGTGGTGGTGCTGGTGGCACTGATGATGTTGTTGGTGTTGCTAGTGGACAAATGGATGTTGTAACCACCTTTACAACCAACCGTTTCGATGTGGAGGCTTTTAAGTGGTCAAAAGTACAATTTTGAAGTTTTGTTGCTGTTGTTTTTGTTGTTGTAACTGTTGTAATATTTTTAGACAATCCTGTAGTCCATTTGACCAAGGGTTTGATAAATGTCCATTTTTGCTGGAGCAATAAATTTTGTTGTTGCTGCGTTTTATAATTCCTCCATATGAGATTTGCTGACAAATCGCAGATTTGTTTGGTGTTTCAAATGATTAATGATTAGCAAAGAGGATCGTGGAAATATCAGGCCCAGTATAATGACACAATAGGACAGCTGGAGGGAAGGCAAAACGGAAATTACTCTTTTTTTTTTCAAAATATTTTGTTTTCAAATTACCTTTATAATAATTTTGGCCAGCTGGACAAGCAACCAGAACGTTATTAAGGCAATGAAATTAAATAGACTAAAGAAGCCTTCTTTAAATGTCTCACTTATATAGACCATGACCGGAATATGACCACATTGGCAGCGTTTATTTCCAGTCATAACATTTATGACATTTGACAACCGTTCGGAAAAGTGCAAATAACTTAGCCAAACACATTGACTGGCATGCCGCGTGTGGGTGTGAGTTTTTCTGACATAACACTTTGCTGTGGCAGACTTACTCCTTCCTCATCACCACCTCGCCACGCTCAATAAAAATAACTGCAACCACCCACATCCTTCCTCACCAAAATGCCTTCCTGAGAACCTAAAATGACTACAAATACAAAATGATTATGGCCATGGCTGGTGTCTGACATGAAAATGTCATAACATAACAATAATAATTGCTCATATTATTGTTATGATTATGGCCCCCGCTCTGCGTTGTAGTCGTGTTATAGTAGTATTAGTAGTTGTCGTAACAATGGTGGTAATGTTTAGTGTCTCTCTCTTTTTTTTTGCTACTCAATTGTGTTATAATTGTTAGACAATTTCAAAATTAACCTCTATTATTGCAGTACATGCACATACATAGACGTCCGTACATATGTAAGTAAATAAATAATGAGAACAAAATTCTAAAGTCAAAAATCATGTCAGAATTTAATGTAGACAACAAATTTTTGTTTTCATGTTTTTGGGACATTGGGGCGTATGATGGATGGAGTTGGATGGTTGGGGCGTATGATTGTTGTTAATAAAGAACTGAAAATGATGTGGGACAAAGAGGCGTATAATGATCCATAAGCCAAGCTTAATTTGTTAGGTACTGAGTAATAGCAACACACAAAAAATAATTACGGGGAAAATCCAGCAGATTATGAAAATTGAGCTAAAAAATGAAGACACGTTGGACAAGTCCCCTACTTTTCCACACTTTTTTAAATTTCCCGATTAAAATTCTTCGGAATCCATGCATTTCAGGTATATTGTTTCTTCGGCAATATTGTAGATAAAAATACGAGGAATATTTTGGTCCGTAACGTTAACCCTCAATCGAGGAAAGAAAGTCGCCTTTCTGGTCATTTTTTGAACATTTTATGGAAAACTCCCTATAAACGGCTTCGTAGCAAGTCAAAATCTATATCTATAAAAGAGGAAAATGTTTGTATGTTTGTTTGTAATTTATGGACTCGAAAACCGCTGAATAGATTTTCCTGAAAATTTCCATATATACTGCAACATCGCCTGAAAGTAACATAGGCTATATACATTTTTGAATTTCCACTTGGAACTGGAGATATAGCATCAGAATCGGAGGTACCTCCCAAAAATTTAGATTTTATATGCACATATCTATTGATTGGTTGAAGATACAGTCTCCAAATTTGGAATACGTAACGGAATTTGAAACAAAAATAAGTTTGACAAATTATATGCAAATACGCTCAGATTTGATTATAGCTCCCATATATATTTTCGACCGATTTCGTTCATTTGATGCCTCAAACACAATATGAATGTTCGATTCCAATGCAATTTGGAATGTGTGACGGGATTTAATCCGAAAATAAATTTGTCAAATTATATTGAAATCGGTTCAGATTTGGATATAGCTCCCATATATATTTTCGGCCGATTTCGAGCATTTGATGCACCAAACACGCTATGTATCTCCAATTTCAATGAAATTTGAAACGTGTGATAGATTTTATCTAAAAAATTGATTTCCCAAATTATATTGAAATCGGTTCAGATTTGGATATAGCTCCCATATACATTTTCGGCCGATTTCATGTATTTGGTGGACCAAACACGACATGTATTTCCCATTGTAATGAAATTTAAAATAAGTAACGGAATTGGGAGCCAATATGAATTTGTCAAATTAAATTGAAATCGGTTGAGATTTGGATAGAGCTCCCATATATATTTTCGACCGATTTCATGTATTTGATGCATCTCTAATTTCAATGAAATTTGGAATGTGTAGCGGAAATTAAAACAAATATACATTTGTCAAATTATATTAAAATCGGTTCAGATTTGGATATAGCTCTCATATATATTTTCGACCGATTTCATGTATTTTATGCACCATACACGATATGTATGTTCGATTCCAAAGAAATTTGGAATATGTAACGGGATTTTGATTAGAAAATAAATTAGTCAAATTATATTAAAATCGGTTCAGATTTGGATATAGCTCCCATATATATTTTCCGCCGATTTCACATATTTGATGCACAAAACACGATACGTATTTCCGATTCCAATGAAATTCGGCATGAATGGCTAAATTTGGTACAAAAATAAATTTGACAAATTATATGCAAATACGCTCAGATTTGATTATAGCTCCCATATATATACTCAGCCAATTTCACATATTTGATGCAGCCAAAGCGAGAGAGACAAAATCTGGCACCAGAAAAAATTGCCAAATTATATTGAAATCAGTTGAGGTTTGGATATAGCTAACATATATATTTCGGCCGATTTCATATATGTTATGCACCAAACATGATATATATGACCGATACCAATGAAATTCAGAATGTGTGGCGGAATTTGGTTACAATAACAAATGTGACAAATTAATTGGAAATTAGTTAAGAGTTGGATATAGCTCCCATATATATATTATCGGCCGATTCCACATATTTGTCGCACCAATTTCAATGAAATATGAAAGGTGTGACGGAATTTGGTGTAAAAGTAATTTTTTTTTAAATTATATTTAAATCGGATCAGATTGGGATATGATTTTAATAAGAACCATTGACCCACAACGCCTTAGGCTAACACTAAAAAACAACACAACAATTAATTTGAAATACGCTTATTACGGCGAAGTATGTTGCTACCTCGAATTCACTAATTGCAATAGAAATGCCACTTTACTTAAAAAAATTGCAGTTTCCTGCACGCTTGGTATTTGCTAAGAAATAAATAAATCCAAATGACAAACCCTTCGTGTATGCATGTCATTTTACTGCTTTTGTAATGATTTTGTTTATAAACGCATTAAATTAGTGCAATATTTTTTTTTTAATTTTTAAATTTGTTTTTCTTTATCAAACATATATTCGTAAATAAAATTTTGAATGCATATAAAATCAAAAGGGGTAGCGAAGCGCACCGGGTTCAGCTAGTATTCTATAAAATTATTTGCCATAAAATTTTATTATAGATCCTAGAAGACATCTAAGTTTAAATCAAACCTTAACAACAGGAGTTAATTTAAATTAAAAGCACAGTTACTTTGTGTCAGTTTATCCAAAAATATACAAAGCGTCATTTTAGAATGGTGAACTAAAGGCAAAAATATTTCCCCATTAAATTCACTATAAGTCACCAAGGAATAGAAATCTCTATTTTCACTGTATATAAGAAAAGTGTTTGCATTAATATTCCCAACAAAAGCATTAAGTTCGGCCGGGCCCTCCACTATTTGGTACAAATTTGGCAATTTTCAAAAAAAAAAAAAAAAAAAAAAATAAATAAAAAAAAAAAATAATAATAATAAATAAAATCCGTTAAAAATTATGTTAACATCTTAAAAAATACCGAATGTAGCCGTATATTAGGGTCTATAAGACGACGTGGACCTAGGCATAGGCAACTTTTGTCAAAAGTAAAAGTCCATTTATAATGTAGCAAAAAGCAAGAGGGTTATAAAACTTGAACCTGCACAGACAATTTTCTGTCATATTCTGTAGTATCCATTACGAACTTCAAATGCGAAATTTGAAATTGTTCCGGTAAATAATGTCGCTAAAATCATCAAAATACCGAATATCGGGAGGTACCGTTATATGGGGGCTTTACTAAGACGTGGACCTGCACAGACAATTTTCTATTATAGGCTGTAGCATCCATTTCGAACTTCAAATACTAGATTTTACCAAAAAAAATGTATATTTCGAGGTGTTACAAACGGAAAACTTAATATACTTTCCATACTGTGGTGGAGGGTATAAATGTGACGGGGTAAGTCAAGCAGAAATAAAGCTAAAAGAAGAAGACAAGTGTAATGGCATTTTGGAAGTTTACATCACAAAGTAGGCTAATAGAGATGGCAAGTTCCGATTAAGATTCCTCGAAATCCGTGTATTATAGTGTCTTCGGCAATATCAAAGATAAACATTTTAGAAATATTTTGATCCGAAACGTTAAACCTCAATCAAGATCCTAAAAACTCCTTTTAAATGGCTTCGTAAGTCAAAATATTCTACAAAATTATTTGCCATTTAAATTTATTAATGGTCCTGGAAGATGTCAAAAGTCTAAATCTTACCTAACCTTCATATAAATCAAAAACATATTTTAGGGTTAAAGTCACACTTTGTGTGAGTTGTGCAAAAAACTTCAATAAATCGTCATTTTAGAAGGATGGTCTCGAAGAAAAATATCTTCTTCATTAGAGGCAAGGAAAGGAAAAGCCAAAAGTCGGGCGGGGCCAACTATATGATACCCTACACCAATATGCATAAAGAGTGAGATAAAAGAAAAACTGCAACAAAATCAAACACAATAATTTTTATTTTTTTAAATTTTTTTGAATAAAAGCAAAAATATCGGAAATAGCATCAAATGTTAGAATAAGTTTGGATTTGCTTCGAATTGGTCACCTTTGGCACGAATTATGGCCTTCAAACGGCCAATGAAACCGTCTCACGCTACCCGGTATTTTAGCCAATTTCCGACGAAGCGCTTGCATGAGTTTATCGACACTTTGGTATTTTTTAGTGTCAACCTTGCTTTCCAAAATATTCCACACGCTGGAAATGAAGCGAGGAACCTCATTTTGTAACCAGTCTTGGGTGGTGCGTGCTGAGTCCGGAATGCCCAAGGTCTGCGGCCAAAATGTTTGCGTGACCAAGGCTTTAATAAACCCTCCAGTATATTTTCGCGATAATATTTGGCATTTTTTCTGATGCCACAGTCGATTAATACGAGCGGAGAGCGACCATCGACTGTTATCGCGGCCCACACCATAAGCTGGCCGGCGCTTGAGTTCTGGTGGTCAACCGAAGGTGCACATTTTCAGCTGACCTATTTGGCAAGTAAACACGATCATTTTGTTTGTTTACAAACTGCTGGACAACGAATGTTTACTCATCGGAGAAAATCAAATTCGGCAGCTCACCACTTTCGGCCATGCGAAGTAACTCTTTAGCTCTTTTGAGTCTATTTTCTTTCTGTTCTTGTACTTTTTGATTTTCAATGTCTTTACCCCGAGCTCATTTTTC